GAAAAGCCATGCGCTGTGGCTCTGGAAAAGCCATGCGCTGTGGCTCTCTCCTGTGCTTAGGAAAGAGCTCTGTGGAAAACCACCCAACTCTGTTCCATAGTCGCTTGTGCTGATGGTCTTTTTAGGGAAATGGCTGGTTTTTATTTGTTTGTGAGCAAGACAGGGTTTTTCTATGTAGCCAGGGCTGTCCTAGAACTCTCTCTGTAGGCCAGGCTGACCTCAAACTCACAGAGATCCTCCTGTCTCTGCTTCCTGACCGAATTTAAATTGATTATATTTTTGTAGTGCTGGGGATCGAACCCAGGGTGTTGGGCAAGTGTTCTACCTGGGAGCTGCAAACCCAGCCCCATTAACTGCTTTTGTTTTCTTCAGTGTGGGGATTAATAGCAGTTGGATTTTTGTAAAGAAGAAAACAGAAAGAGAGGGAAGGCCATCCTAGTGAGCCGCGCCATGGGGAGGAACCGATCCAGGTCCAGAATCAGCCCTGGTCTGTGCTATCAGAGCAAGTCTGAGATAACACGAGGCCCCTCGAGAACGAGGAAGGAACATGCAGATGTGAACAGGCAATGTCTTGGTCTTCTGCTTTAATTGTGGAAACTCCCAAAGTGGGTATCGCTTTTGAGTTCTCAAGGGACGGGGTCTCATCTATCCCAGGCTGGCATTGAATTCACTCTGCAGCCTTGTGGTTCGGTCCTTCTGCCTCCATGCCCTGAGTACTGAGATTGGAGATGGGCACCTTCATACTTGGTCTATGAGGAGCTGAGTGTTGAACCCAGGGCTTTGTGCATGCTGGGCAAGCACTCTACCAACTGAGTTGCATCCCCAGTCCCGGGTACCATTTCATAGCTGAGTGTGAGTTAACGCTCCCTAAGAAAGGCATCTTACTTTGCCTTTGCATATAATTCCATTCACGTGGCTAATGAATGCATACCTGTGGGTGAAGAGGATGAAGCTGGAGTCTGTCAGGACAAGCTGTGAAGGGAGCATGTACAGAATAACTAGGCTGTCAGTTCTAGGAGACAGAGGGCGCATCCCCTCTTTCCCAGCCTCTTGACACTTGGTGATTCACAGACTGTTCTCACACCTGAGGCCCGTGGACCCGAACTGGGCAGGACCTGCACACTGAGCTCAGAGGGCCCCTACCCCAGAAAGTAAAACAACAATAGCAGCAGCAACAGCAATGGGATGCCTGGCCTCTAGTGACAACAAGCCCTCTGTGAGGATGTGTGGGGATGTTGGGAGAAAGATCCAGGTGGGATTTGCATGACTTCCTGTGACTTTCCCTGCGGAGACCCAAGCAAACATCTGTTCACCCCATACAGGAGGGAGACGGACCAAAGAAAGATGCCGCTCAAGTCTAACTTGGAGAAGCGATGACTTACCTACGCAGCCCCACAGGAGGGCTTACTCGCAGAAGTAAGGGGACCAAACAGCTGCGTGACTGTAAAGTCCTACCCCATCATGAGTGATGGCTCATCGAAGCTGGCCCATGAAGCCCTATATCTAGTTAATCTCCTTCTTATATATTCTAGTATCTCCTCAGATCCCTTGTAGCAGGGAAGAGGGATGGTGTAGGAAGCTAATAGCTGACCGCTTGCCCCTCCCTGTGATGTCCTGTAGCTTACCCTGACGTCTTGCGGTGGAGGATTATCGACTCCATTACTGTTATTGTGGGTCTTGATGTGACTACCTGGCCAAGGTCATCTCTACTCCAAGATGGCAGTAGGATGATCCTGTTATGCTTGAAGGGACGCTATACCATGGACACGCAATTTATACAACTCCAGGAAGTGCGACTTTGACCAAGCTGCCACCTCAGTCCACTCGCCTGTGCACCTGATAGAACTGCCTGCTTCCCTCCAGCAAATGCATGGATTTCTTCTTGTGAGGGCAGCCACCTATAATGCTGCCTGCTCGCTAGGTTCAGATGATTCTGTGGAGGGGAGGAGACCACCACCATGGCCCGGGCCACCTGTGCTTAGGACTTGGACCTAGGCTTGAACCATAGAAGTCAGGAGAGGGAGGTATGTGACCTTGGATTGGTTACTACCCCTTTTTAATCTGTGTGTGTGTGTGTGTGTGTGTGTGTGTCTGTCTGTCTGTCTGTCTGTCTGTCTGCCTGTCTGTCTGTTTGTGGGTACACATGTACCCTGTCTGTCTGTACTCATGTACCACGGTGTGCATGTGGAGGTCAGAGGACAATTTGTTGGAGCTGGTTCTTTGCACTGTGTAGATCCCAGGTATTGAACTCCAGTCTGCAGGCTTGGTGACGAGTCCTTTCACCCCCTGAACTGTCTCACCAGCCTTGGTTTCTTAACTTTTTAGATGATTGTGATTTTCTTCTGTGATTGACCAAATAAAACCCACGCCAAGAGAAAGTGTGACAGCCGGTCTTCACTGCAGCCTTGATTGGATCTGCGATCCCTTATGATCTTGAGACTCACTGCTGAGTGTGGGCAGCAGCATCCCATGACCTGGGAAGAATAAGAGAACAAAAGGAGAAAGGATAAAAGCCAGCATGGAGGACCAGCGCTGCCCTTCCTCTGCTTCCTGACTGTTACCATGGAGCTGCTTGGCTCCTCTGCCGTTCTTGAACTCCCTGAAGTCATGAGCCAAACAAATCTTCAAGATTTGCTAAGTTGTTTGTGTCGGGTATTTTGATGACAGCCGTGAAAAAGTAACCAGTGTAGAAGGAGTCACGTGGAAGGGCTGAGCACAGGGCCCTGGGTGGTGACTGTACTTGGATCTCCCCATACTGTGTCCACATAAAGCCACTTCTGGACCAACTCAGGTCCCTGGGAGCCTGTGAGTATAGATGGAGGGAGGCAGTGGAGCTGGCCGATGCAGGGACATGGGCCATAGGCCGACAGACTTATTTTAGGCATTTGGGTGATCTAAAGGGATCGGGAAAGCCCAGGGGTGAGCTGGACGCTAGTGAAGCTGGAAAGAGATGGGGCAGCTCGTGATGATCTGTCAGACAGCCTCAGTCTCATGGAGTGTATCATCAGGTCTTCCAGTGCAGAGAAGTGGGGCTGCAAGCCTGCATCACCCCACTCATGATGATCTGTGTTCCCTGTGGAGCAGGTGACCGCTGGGGAGTGTCTGTGAGTGGACTGATCATCCACTAACACAGCCACGAGTGTGTGTGTGTGTGTTCGTGTCTTTTATTTAAGAGTCTATAATTGACTCCTTGGGACTTCTCAATGCATAAGGAAAATACCTTGAAGGGAACTGGTTCTTAGAAGTAGAGATTCAAGAGGAGTTGTGTGTGGTTGTACCCCTGAGGGAAGGAACTCAGACACAGTGCACTCTGTGGTCAGTTCTGTTAGGGGTGTGTAGTTGCGGATTTCTAAATCCTACTGAAGACGGGATGTCAGGTGTCATGGCGCTGTTCTAGTCACCCTTCACTGTGTAACAAACCCTGGATCTTGCTACCTCAAAGTCACAGAATCCACAGCATTGCCTTCCATAGAGTCAGAAATTCTGGAAGGCCCCATCTAGGTGGTTCAGACTCAGGGTCTCTCAAGTGGAACAGCAGGAGCATGTATGGAATGGGTGCAACAGCTGGGGTTGGCCGAACATCTCCATTGGCAGCAGGCTCAGGGTCTCTCCCTGGGGTCTACCTGCATGCTGATCTCAGGGAACCAACAGGGTCCAGACAAGAGCTCCATCCCTTGGTGAACAGCCCCAAATGCTTTACTTACTGCAACCACTGGCCATCCAGGTTCAGGGTGAAGGAACAGTCAACCCCCAGAGGGCAGAAATATCAAGAACACATTGTCCTAGGACATGCAAAGCCATACTGGAAAGTTCCTCTAGCCATGTTGAGGAGTTTCAGGTGGCCCTGCAGGAGGATGCAGAATCCCTGTGTCCTCAATATTTTGACTCATTGTCCCCAGAGTGTTTCACCCAGGTCAGCTGCAACTGCTCAGAGAAAACCAGGAGCCTGGACCACTGCACTGATCAGTCTCTGCCACCTTCAGGGCAACTATATCACCTCTAGACTTAGCCTAAATTTAACCCACACATCTTTAGAAATCCCAGGAACTAAGTGTCCCCGCTTCACACCCCAAGTTTGATCTATTCTGCTAGGTCTCCTGGTCCCTGGGTTGGGTCATAGTGTCCTCGGAATTGACAGACAGCCCATCTGAACTATCTAGTGCCACTTTTGAGTCAGCGTCCTGGAGTCCCACATGAATGACCACTGTGGAAAATTCTTGAACGAGGAAGCAGCACAATCAACCTCGAGCCTGAGCCTTGAGAAACTACAAGAACCTTCCATGTAGCTTTCTTCTACCTTCAAAAAATGACCAAAGTCTTTAACCAAATGACTGTGTGTGAGAGACAGAAGTCCTGATGTCACACGGGACTCCCCCCTCAGACTGGCGCCTCAAATGTGGATTGGGAAGACTGGGGATAATTTGACTTAAAAATTATATATATGGGTGTCATGAGTGAATGTATTGATGCACCACATGCATACAGTGTCCGTGGAAGCCAGAAGGGGGCGTCACATCCCTCACAACTTTAATTACAGACAGTTGTGAGCCATGGAGTGAGTGTTGGGACACAAACCTGGGTCCACGGGAAGAGTAGCCGGTGCTCTTAACCTCTGGGCCATCCCTCCAGACCTGCTAAGTGGACCTTTGACCCCATTCCATTTCATAACAGGTCCATTGGCTTCAGAAAGCCATCTGTGCTTACCCTCCTGGCTCCCGAATACACAGTTGAGCTAAAAATGCTCATTCTTGGTGAATTCCTAGAGAACTGGCCACGTGGAAAGACCTGGAACTACCATCCCTGTAGCATTGGAAACATTTTGGGTGAACTGGGAATGTGAATGCCACCTTCCAAGGCCTGCAAGACACAGGTGTGGTGAGTCCCTCTCCTCTCCTTGTGGAAGGCAGACGGTCATTAGGGAATGGCAGTCCACGAATCTTCTTTGTAGCCAACGCTATTCTTCAAGAGGTGGCCTTTGAGCTGGGGCAAACCTCTGTCCTCTGTCATACACTTTTCCTCCTGCCTGATATGTTTTCTGTGCTCACGTGAACACGACACAGCAGAAGCACATGTTGTCATTGGCAGGAACCCGGGCTCCAGTACTTGACTGGAAACCCCCAGATTGCATTTCCTAGACTCTTTTCACAGCTGGGATTCTGGAGCTGGGTCAGTTGCTGTCACGGTCAAGAGCTGGCACACAGCGTGAGGGACCGGGTCTGGATGTCTGCTTGCATCTGGAAGTGGGAACCGTTGTTTAGTCCTACTAAAGACAGAAGGATGATGACTTATTTACAGACCTTAATTAATTGAGTTTTCCATTGCAGAATTTGGCAACGCTTTATGCCATGAAATAGACTGAGTTTGCCAATAGGCTGAGCTGAAAAGGGGCCGAAGGAGGCAGAAGCAGAACACAAGGAGGATTGTTCGTTATTTTCCTTGTAAGGTAGATGATAGGCTCATGCTGCTGGCCTAACATTGGTTTACCCCAGGTTACCTTTTGGTAAGGATTAGACCAGAGGGAGCTGTGTTGTCAGGTCAAATTACCATGCCAGTTGAATTTCTCTCTCTCTCTGTCTCTCTCTGTCTCTCTCTGTCTCTCTCTCTCTCTCTCTCTCTGCGTGTATGTGTGTAATTTGATTCTTATCATTTTCAATTTTCCAGAGGTCAGACAAACAGCTCAGCTTGGGCTCAGTGACGTGAACCTGGGCAGCCGTGACGCTGAGATGAGTTTGAATGGTTCCATCACGGCCACAACAGGAACCTGTTCCAAAGCAACATCTCCCATGGTTTTTGTTAAGCACACGTGATCTGTGGGTGACTCAAAGACACCTGCGTCGTTGAAAACCCCTCCCCAACATGGGTAAGGACTCATGAAAACTGCATCCCTGGAGCCCTGCATGAACGGTAGGCAGCTTGGCCAGTTGGAGGGCAGCTCCCGGAGAGCTCGTATAACCTCGGCCATGGCCATGAGATCCTTCCAAGTCTGTGATGCCCCCTGAGCCCCGTGTGTTTTATGTTCTTAGTCCTAGTGGGCCTCTCTTACCTCTAACCCGGAATAGTTCAACAATAGAGGTTCGAGAAGGATGGAGTTTAGCAGCCATCCCAGAGACCGAGGGACCCAGAAAGCGAACGTATGTTCCCTCTGGTCCTTCACAGAACGACTCTGCTGACAGGCAGGCACGGAGGCCTGGCCTCTTCCTGCGGCTTCTCCTGCATTGCTAGGTCAGGAGGATCATGCTTTCTTCAGCAACTTTTCCAGGTCCCTCCTCTGACTCCGGAGTGTCAAGCAGAGTTGCTGCTGCATGTGTTGGGGTATTAGTAGAACTCAGCCTGGCCTGACTCCAAGAGTGACCTCAGAGCCCATAATCCTTATTGTTCCGAAAACCATTCCAAGAATCACAGCCTCCAGCCTGTTCCTTCAATGACTTTTAAAACATTTAATGCGAAATACTCAGCCTTTTTGTTTTTCAATCAAGTCACTGGAAGTGTGTGAAGTATGGAAGCCTTTCTGAACTGACTCCTGCCTTCGGCATCCCTTGATCCTGTGTTCCAATAATTGACATGTAATAGTGTCCTTCATGTACAACAGTTATTTGTAATCTGTATGTTTATGTGACATGTGCTTTTATTATTATTATTATTTATTTGTGAGTGTGCATGTACCCTGGCACATGCGCAGAGGTCAGAGGACAACTTGCAATAGTTTGTCCTTCCTTCCACGTGGAACCTGGGGATTGAACTCAGGTTATCAGAGTTGGCAACAATCCCCTTTACCTGCTGAGCCGTCCCGTCGGTCCTTATATGACATGTTTATAACAGATGAGAATGTGCTAAGAACTTCACTCTAATGTTTTGATTTAACAAATCAAACGGCCAAGATAACCTCACGGCCATAGCTGGCCACATGAAGGATCCTCTTGATCTGACGGTGGTTTGGTTTGATTAGAAAGTCGTGTCCCAGCGTCTCCTGACTTGAAAGCTCGGGTGGGTCATTTGCCCGACCATGTTTCTACCATGGTCAGAACTGAGTTCCTGAGCACACAGTGAAACCTGCCTGATCTTTTTTCCCCTGTGAGCTCTGTTCCAAAGCCTGTTGCGCAAGAGTGGGGGTGGATGAAGAGCCGCAGGTTTCCTTATGCAACACACTTCCTCCTGAGGTCACCCCCTGGATGTATTTAATTAGGATGTGTTAGGTCTCAGCGGAGTGGTGACTCCTACCAGCAAAGAGCTGAGACACCACCTGGGAGTCATTAAGAGCTGATAGCATCGTGTGGCAGGCACCGTCAGCCTCTGCTTTGTGAAGATGATCCCACTTTGTTTTCTGAGTTGCCCCTGGGTGGGGCTGCGCGTTAGCAGCTAGCCACTTGCCACTGATGCCCGACACTGTGAAGTACTTGATAAAAGCCACTTCCCCTCCCTAGACATTCTCTCGGTTTGCGAGAAATACACTAGAGTCTTCCGAAGCTCCAGGGCCATTTCCTTCCATTATTTTGCGGAAATAAGAGCTAAAGGTACTGGGCGAGAGGGACCCAGATGAGAACTGACTCTCACAAGTTGTCCTTCGACCTCCACCCGCATTTCGTGGTAAGTTTGTCTATATGCACACACATGTGCATGTATGGGCACATGTGTGCACACACGCCCAAGTGCACACACGCACACACAAAATAAGTGTAATACATTTCTGAAGTCTAGATTTCTTTGTTGTGTTTCTTCCTTTTCATTTTCTTTCCTTCTAATTTTCTATGTGAAAGCTGACCTTGCCTCATGGCATTAGGGAAAAAAAATTCTTCAAAAACTCTTACTTGAGGAAAGAAAATGACTAATCTCTGGAAGTAGAAATGGAGGTGGACCCGTGTTCTGGAAGCACAGACTCTAAATACTGAGAACACAGACCCCAGCGATCAGCACCAGCAATGTTAGCGAGGACATGAAGACTGCATGCTGTACCCTTAGAAGACACATTTGTGTTCATGTCCGAGTGGGGCCCATTTGGGTCACTGGGTAAGCACTGTTTTCTAGAAAGTGGAAAAGGTGTTAGGCTCCCCATGGCTTTCACAGTGGCAGGCTCCTATACAAGGTGGCAGGATGACAGCCACCTTCCTTGGGATCCCTTCACATCACATCACACACAGACACACAGACACACACACACATAGACACACACACACACAGACACACACACACACACACTTTCCAAGTGGGAGCCTTTCCCTAAGAATCAGAGAGGGAGCCTGGGAAATGAACCACCTAAGTGCAGAAGGCAGATGATGGGAAATAAAAACAGCTACGTCTCGAAAAAGCAAACCAGCCACGAAGCTGCTTATAAATGACATGTTATTGTTTCTCTCTGGTCCCTCAGGGACTTTCTGGCTATTTTAATGCTGTGTTTTCATAAGACACGTTCAAACAGCAGGGCAGGGAACAGTGAGAGCGGAATAAGAATTAGACGTGTTGACTCTGCCTGTGCCCTGCAGGTGAAATGTCACGTCTTGTTCCCAGCCTCTGAAGATTCAATTACGTGGACCATTTTCCAGCCACGCTGTTGCAATGCGGACCGCTCAAAGGGAGCTTCGGAGGCATCCCTGCCATCATAAACAGGAACCCAGCTGTTTGGATGATGGAGCTCTGTTCAGTTCAAAGCATCTGAAAATGTGGTTGTTCTCAGTGTCGTGGTGAACCTCCCGTGTGGAAAACCCAGGATCCTTCTGAGCCACACGCGCGTGTGTCAAGACTTGCCGGTGGGCCCAGGTTGGGGCCGGCTGGGACTTTTCCAGGCCTGTGTTCCGCCACTCAGGGAAGGTGATGAAACGTATGCTTTGGTGATTCAGCCTTTGACAGATGCTGTGACAATGCCACCTCCCCAGTCCCAAATCAAAGTCCCATTTCTACGGCTACCCATCCCCCTGATGTCTGAAAACAAACTAGAGCTTCTAGAACTTCGGGCTCATTTAAGTTAAAAGCACTGGGCAGGTGAGGCCCATATGACGAAGAGGGCAAACGTGAGAGGCTGATGAATCCCACTGGCCTGCTCTCCGTGGTAACCTGTCTCCAGTCTCTCTGCCTCCTTGGGTAGAGAGGGACAGTCAGGTTCCGGAGCTCTAGTTGGAAGACCACATGACCTGTGAAACCCCTACTACTGGGCTGGGCTCCTGAAGGGGCACTGGGTACTGCACAGCGGCACAGGTGGGGCAGTCCAGGGCACTACACGCACTTTCCAGGGGAAGAACCATGGGATGGGAGAGGATGGGTCAGTTAGTTTGTCCAGTACGTGGGAAACCATTCACACTGCATACAGGTAGATGAGAAGCTGTGTTTCCACTATTTTTTTCTTCTCCCCCCCACTCCCGCACCTCACAGCCCAGAGAAAGAGGTCTTGGAGTCTATTGATAATGTTTCACTTTTCTTCCTTCGATGACAAACTCAACTACTTCCCAAGCACAGGAGAACTCAAGTGCCCCCAACAACTCAGTCCTGCAAGGCCCTTTTAAGTACCCGGGACCTACATCAGGCGTTTCATAGCTGTCTGTAACTCCAGCTTCCTGGAATCCAGTGACATTATCTGGCCTCTAAAGGTACCTTCACACACACACACACACACACACACACACACACACACATACACACACACACACATACATACAAACACACACACACACACACACACACACAAAATATAAAAGATGCGTATTGAATGTTTATCCCTGACTTGGAGAGATTGTATTTCAACAGCAGGTGAATATTCATCTCTAGTGTTGTTTGACTTCTGAGGGTCTCGTCACAAATACTGTCGTTCCCTTCCTCTTTCTCCTCAGTTTATGCAGAGTTTTTCTTTTTCATTTTCTGACCATCTCTCTGCCCAAATGCTTGGGGGCTGGGGAAGGCTGATGTTTGGAGAGATGGTTTTCCTGCACAGGTGTACTCCGCCCAACATGCGTGTGCTCTTGCCCAGCTTGGCGACCACTCCACCAGAAAGCATGGCACTCACGGCATTCCCACCCCTGCACCCTTGAACCCCATCACTGCCTTGGACAATAGGATGTGGGGAGACAGTGTCGAGACACTTGCAAGGCTAACTCTAACACGCAGCACGGTTTTTGCCTAGCTTTCTTGCACTCTCAACCTGAGTATCGGGCATCTTGTTTTCAGGAAGCCCAGGCCCCAAGAAGAGACATCACATGGGTCTTTGAGCCAAAAGCCAGCGAGAGCCAACACAGGTCAACAGCCCTGTCAGAGAATGGCCATCAGGGGGTCTCAACGTTTACTTTGGAGATTTCTCAGTGGGGACCTCAGACACCATGGAGTAGAGATAAGACATTTGCTGCTTGTTCAACTTCCTGCCCAACAGGAAGTAGGAGAAGTGATAAAGGGGATTATTTCAAGCTGCTGGGCTTGGGGTTTTGTTAGGTAGCAGTCAGTCGATAACTAAAGGGGGGGGGGCTCTTGTCTCACAGCTGAGGAGGGAAAGCTCCAGAAATCACCATGCTGGGGGCCCAGCCCTTTCTTCCAGCTTTTCCTTATGCGAGCTTGTCTGTTCATGACATCTTGTGATGCAAACTGTAAAACACACCACCAGTCTAGATACATGCAAGTTCATGTATGTGGCGTGTTATGTACCTGGTGATAAAATTGAAACATATGAGAAAAATACTAAGAAAATAACATAAATCCAATCTGTGCTTGTTCTCCTCCACTGTAGAATTGTGTCTCTGAACGTCACTGTGATGCAGGTTTTTTGAGTAATGAAAGTAGCAGGGTTTAAGGAAAAATGTGTGTGTTTAAGGGAAGAATACACAGTGCAGAAACAATTTTGTGATTTAGCTATTACAAAGTAAGTTACCAACTTTGTAAAATAAATGTAATTTCCTTGCACCATGGCCCTTGACAAGCACATGCTGTTTGGGGAATGGCCTGGTTTTGGAGAAGGGGTGGCAGAAACACAGTGATATGACCAGAAAAGGGTCACTGCTTGAAGTGCAAGACCTGCTGATGCAGTATCTCAGTGGCCATTTTTAACCTATGGGACTTTAAGGCAATGAATAACTGGTTTGTATTGTACTGTATCATAGTATATTATATTGTGCTGTATGTATTTGTACTGTACTGTGTTGTATTATACTGTACTATACAGTATTATATTGTACTGTGTCTTATTGTACAGTGTTGTACTGTACTATATTGTGTTATTTTCAGAGAAAGATCTCTGTGTAATGTATATTCTTGCAGGTTTTGTCTTCCGGTAAAAATCCTCTTTGTCCAGAGCTTTGTTTTAACATTTATATCTGAATTGTGTGTGTGTGTGTGTGTGTGTGTGTGTGTGGTGTACTTACTCATGTGTGCATACATGTGTGAGATCTGAATTCAAGTCCTCGTGCTTGAATGGCAAGCATTGTACTGACTGAATGCTCTTCCCAGTCTGGGTCTGTATTTATATAACCAAAATGCTTGCTTGAGACTTCAGACTTTGCAGTGCATATGTCCGCCACAAAGAGTCAACCCTCACTTATGGGTGAAGCGGGCAGGGGATATCGCTGTCAATAATTTATCTACTTAAAATACGTAAGCGTGAATTTGAAATTAAGAGAAGAATGCCAAGATTCAGATGAAAACCTTGGACCAGTGAGGTGGTTCAACGTACGAAGGCACCTATGACCAAGCCTGATGACCTGAGTTCGATCCTTGGAACCCACGTGGTGGACGGGATAACCTACACCTGCAAGTTCTTCTCTATGTCCACATGCATGTGGGTGCCACCCCTCCTCCAAGTCCTCCGAATAAAGAGATGTAATAATGAGACGGGGGGGGGGGGGGACTTTGAACACATAGTCACAGATGCGGGCAGCTGATAAAGGTGGTATTTCGGTGACTCAGGCACCAAATGGATTTTGTCATCAGGAATGTGCTTTTCTGAAGTGATGAGCCATCCTTGGCCCTGCTCCAAGCCAAACAGAGAAGAGCTTCCTCTCATCTTCCACTGTAGCTGGATTCTTAGACCCTGTATTTACACAGAAATGTCAGATTATGGGCTCAGATAACGAACAGGTTTCTCCCTCCATATGAAAACTCAGGTGGGCGCCGAGAAGTCATGTGAGATATTGCTCAGTTTTGTTCTCTTGTAGGACGACCAGCATCTCTCTTTTATTCCTTCCAAATGCCAGAGGCACTCCTTAATTGTGCCAGTGAGTCAAGCCTAGCCTCTTACTCTGCAATGGCTGAATTACAACGCAAATAGAATCCCTAAGCCCACTGAATGGTGGGCGGGGTATGGGGATTGGAAACAGGAACAAAGGAGCAGATACAAAGAGCTGGGAACCCCGAGATCTGAATTCCATGGCATCTGCAGGAAGGCGTGAGCAGGGCCATACATTGTCTTTCTGAAGGTTGGCTCTTGATTGACTGCTTGGGAGCTTGGATTCACACTGTCTGACCTGTTAATGCAAGAAAATTGCTTGATGCCAATACCAGGTTTCCTTCATTATGTGTTTCAAGAATTCCTTCCCTGGGGAGATATAAACAACATTGAACCGCCCCCCCCATAAGGTCCCAAGACAAACCAAAGTACAATTCCACCTGGGAAACAAATGAACTGATTGGGCTTGATTACAGAGTGTGGCTGAGGGGTTGCTGTCAGGAGCGGGGGGTACCTAAGCAGCCACACTGGGAATGCTTCACCCAGCATGAATGGCTGCTCCCCACAGACACAGAGATGGAGCCCCTTCAGTTACCCTCCCCCAGATTACAAGCTCTAGTACCTTCTGGAGATGGTGAGGCCATGTGCAATTAGGGCAGAACTGTATACCAGGATGTGGGAGCAGAGACTGGAGCGTCAGTGAGGTTCAGTGGTCCTACCCACCCCTCCTGCTCTGAGGGAGTGCCTGCAGTGACAGGCTCACTGAAGATGGTGTTCTGCAAGCAGGCACAGCTGATCAGTGATGGCGACAGCTACTCTACCCTGCACCCCTGCCCTATCCTGCAACACTGTATACTGTGCCAAGGGGACTCTGTATGACTGGCTCTCAGTGTAGATGCTGGCATTAAAGCCTCTGTCCCACCAGCAGGTGATATTCTACCCAAACCATTCCAAGTCGGTGCTGGCGAAATTAACTGCACCATGAACGACTGCACTGGGAAGGACCCTGGAAGCTGTCACCTGGATTTCCCCCAGGTTTTGTCCCACTGTCTTTTTCCTTTATTCATGTTGTGTTCTCCTGAAGCAGTAAGTAACAGCAGGAAGTAAAGCTGTCTACGGAAGCCCCAGTGAGTTCTCTTAGCTAACCATCAGAGACCTAAGTCCTCTTGGGGACTCTGTAAGCTGTAGAAACATCATCTTCCCCTCTCTGCAGGAAACTCCCTTTGCCTGGTGATTCCCCTGAGGCTAGTTCTATGGGTAACCCTCTCAGAACCTATAAATCGTACGTATCAGAAGCCTCAACAGGACCTAAAGATGAGTGAGCACAAGGTGTGACCCATAAGGGGGTAAGATACAATTGACACCGAAAAGTGACCTGGAACAGAACTCTTAGGAGGTAGTATCAGGGTAGAAGGAACATAGAATAAGACAATCTGAATTTATTGATTTATTTTATCATATTTATTCATTGTGTATAGCACATTTATTCAGTGTGTGTGTGTGTGTGTGTGTGTGTCCATGTGCACGTTCTCAGTGGGGGTAGGTCACTGGAGAACCTGGGGGAGTCAGCTTTCTCCATCTGTTATGTGGGTCCCAGGTATTGAACTCAGGGCATCAGGCATCACTGCAAGCCAGACTGTATTTATTGATGTGCTTCATGGGGCTCTGTGGGTTAGGAAGGACGCCACCTGGTGGCTCCTATGGCATTGGTTCTCAGAAAGAAGTAGGCGACCTTAGAGAGACAGTCTGAACTGTCTCAGAGAGAACCAAACCACCTCGAAAGGTTAGTGGTCTAGACACTAGCGATGCTGATATGAACATGAAGCGGAAAGAGAGGAGCATGCTGCTAGGGTTGGAACAAGCGAGCCTTAGAGGTGCGATTTGGCAGAGGTGTTCCGACAGCCACATAGAACACAGACCTCTGGGTACAGTGCGCTAAGGAACTTGTCAAACAAAGTGTTAAAGGTGATTATATTAAATTTCTCATCCATGTGACAAAATGCATGACAAAAGCAATGGAAGAGAGGGAGAGGGAGGAAGGGCTGTTTAGCTAACAGTTTGAAAGCTACAGTCCACCATGGTGGGGAATGCATGCTGTCAGGCGTATGAGGCAGATGCAGAGAGGAACACTGGTGCTCAGCCCACTTTCTCAGGAGACAAGAGACAAAGGAAGCAACTCTACACATTACGGCTTAAGCTCATGCATTTCAGTGTCCGGATCTGGAAAAGGCTCAGCCGGGCTGCTTTATCTCTGTTTCACCTGACTGGGAATGGAATGTGTGTTCTCCTGTCTGGTACCATGCTTCTTCTCTCTCTCTCTGTGTATGCAAATGTATCCATGCATGTTCATGTGTGCGTATGCATGTGTATCTGTGCATGTTCATGTGTGTGTGTGAACACTGATCCTGAAGCTCACAGAAGCTAGTCAGTGAGTCCTGGGGGTTTTCGCCTGTCTCTGCCTCCCCAGCACGGAGGTTAGAGATAAGCTCTATCACACCCAGAGTTTTTATGTAGGTGCTGGGGATCCAAACTCAGGTACCTTTATTTCTATAGTAAGCACTTTTCCTATTGAACCATGCTCCTGACCCAACATGCCCTTTTTATATGGGGTGTCCTCATGCTCCGGGGCGACTCAGTGGATGGAAATATGGTACAGCCATTCTTAACTCCTGGTGCTTGGCTTCCAGGAGGCAAGAGGAGAAAGCTGGCAGGCCAGGGCAAGAGGCACAGCATCGTACAGCATCCCTGTGTGTTAGCTATTCTGTGGGACAAAACAAGTAGAGACCTGACCTGCAGGTGAACCTGTGGCTTGGAACACATTATTGGAGCCATTTCTGGAAAATGGAGTTGATTATAAAAGCTAAGTGGGGAACAATATTTTCTTTGGTAATAGTGATTATGTTCTGGGAGCTGGGACCAAAAGTTGGGCTCCAAACTTTTTTTTTTTTGCTTGTTTGTTTTGTTTTTGTTAACATGAATAAAGAAAATAAGAAATCTCAACTGCTCGGGCTAGGGAGGTAGATTTATGGGGAACGAGCTTGTTGAACAAGTGTGAAGACCAGAGTTCAGGTCCTTTGCACCTACACAAAAGCTAGGCAGGCATGGTGATCGGTGTATGAGCTCAGCATTTGGGAGGCAGCGATAAGAGATCCCTGAGCAAGGAGGATCATCAGACTGGATGAATCAATGAGCTCTGTCATCAGTAGATAGCAGAATTGATCAGTAGATCAGCAGTATTGCCTGATGTCTACATCAGTAGATAGTAGACATCAGGCAATAGCAGAAGTCAGAACGTTCCTGAAAGCTACCCTCACACATGCATTCACATACCTACACACACTTACTCATACACTTGTGAACATGTATACACATGTGCAAACATACTGCACACACACACTAATAAATGAAGACTAAAGCTACTGATTTAGTGCCCTCTTGTATATAATTTCAAACGAGAATTAAAAAATATGTCATTTTAGCATACTATATTAGCTTATATGTTTTAATGATATGCTAGATAATAATATATGAGATACAGTAACATTTTATTGGGGCATTCCCTAAAGTTTCTGGTAACAAACGCTGGTTCGTTAGAAACCATGAGTTAGTCTCTACTATATGACTTTTCCTGGTGAGGCATGCAAAACTTTCCCCAGACAGGGATCCAACCAGACCCAACCCAAACAGCAATTCTCTGAAGTTCAATTTGGTGAATCAGTGAATTTACTGGTGTACTTACAGGAGCAGGAATGACTTAAGGGCAGTTGGATCACTAAGATGCTTAGCCCAGCATGAATGATGCTCAGGACAGCTGCATCCCTGGGGCGCCCTGCACGTGCTTGTCTCACCTGGAGCAGGGGCTTTGTGAACCTTGCCAGTTTTGACTCCTAGGACTCGTGAGATTTGTTTGCATGCCAAGCCTCGTGAGCCCCACTCCCTGTCCCAGTTGGCAGTGTTTCCATGCAACCTGCCACCTAGCTGCTAGTATCTGATGCTCACTTGGGCATCGTACGGTCTGCCTGGCAGATGTGATTGGGTATATCCTCCGAAGATCCACAGTGATGGTCCTGAGGTGGTCATCCAGAGATGGAAGGCCATGGGGACACCTTCTCTCAGGAGGGATCAATTCTT